ATTCCAGCCGGAACAGGCTAGTGCAAAAAAAATACTTGGCCAGTCGAGGGCCAGAATTGTTTGAAGGGGCAATGGCAGCAAGGGAGCGCAGCCTATGAAAAGGCACAAAGCACAATGCACTTGCAGTTGAGGCTCAGATTACCAGCTCCACTTTGGAAGTTGCAAGGGACATCAAGGTTGATCAGATGTGGTCTGTACCACCCGCAGCGGTTTCAATTTGCCATCCTATAAGGTCACCTCCCCGCAATCCCTAATTGTCTAGTCCGCATAGCGTGGTATTCATCTCACGTGAAACCAGCTGTAGTTGTCGCTGCGCTGGCGGATACGCATGCTGCGATGAAGCAGAGGCCAACAAGAGCAGTGGGTCTTCCAAGGCTTGCAAGCACATATTCTGTTGAGACCAGAACTCTGTCAAAGTCTTGGCTCTTGTCTGCATGGTGATGTTTCCATACCGTGCGCATCGAACTTTCTTCAATTCACGATGCTACAAGTATGCGCAAGATTTCTTTTTGTCATCATTTTGCGAATGCCCACGTGCCCGATGTCAACATGATTCTTACAGGACGAGGTTTCTCTCATAGGCAGCTGGCTCGTTGATGAGGGTCTGCTGGTCATCGAAACATACTGAAACTGTTTTGTGAATATGCTGCCGGGTACTGGCCTCTGGCGTTTCCTCAGGAAGGCTTGTGCCCATAAATAATCTCAAAGATGGGCGTCGAGACCGCGACCAATCCCAAAACTGAAGGTCCACTCCAGCTATCTAGCCAAGGCCTACGTACAGAAGACTGGAGGTTTAAGTCGTATGAGACGGCTTGCAATGTTTCTCCTCAAGGCACGGAAATCCCTACGCGCTCCCACCTTTGAAAGAACCCCTTGTACAATGGTCATGGCCAGATGTTTCTCAGCCCTATGAGACCTGCGTAGCTTGTAGGAGCCATTTAGAACGCGAAAGAATGGCTGGAAACAACCCGACGTTCTATTACAGGAATCTTTCTGGCTATTAACCCCTAATGTTTTGGCTTGAAAGCTGATTTCAAAAAAACCTGTGCAGACATACGTGCATAATTCTCACAGGAAAATTGGAGCTCCCCTCCCCTCCGTACCCTTTCATCGCTACCGTACCTTCAACGCTGCTACCCCATGATGACTGCAGGCAGCTTCTGCCACCGGGCGGGCGAAGGGCTGGGAGCTCATCATCGCACTTCCGGCGCAGGGTTGGGGAGGGCACCTGGAAGCATCCTTTAGCTGACAGCATTCTAGGCCTTCTGGAAGTGCAGTTGCCCTCCCATCAAGGCAGATATGATGTTTAATCGGTTCCCTTCGATTTACATGCAGCAGACGACACGCTTTGGGGCTCCTTCAAAGAGAGCTTCGTCGTGGTGAGGAAGCCTTTAGTACGCAGCGAGGTAGAGAATCTTAGTCTAGACTACAGAAATGCACAGCCGGTGTGCCGGGGCTGTAGACCGAGCCAGCTTCACTTTTGGAGATGTGCGCCTGCGGGAACCCGTCGCAGCTTGGAGAGAGATAGCGCCGCTCATTGCCTTGAGGCCAAGACTGGGAGACATGGGTCATCTTTTCAGAGGCCACGCAGCGCAGTTCCCAAATGAGGGGTTCACCAAGTGCGCTTGAGAGGCATACCACCATCAAATGCGTAACATCTTCATAGAATTGGCCTTCCTGGCATAAGCCGAGCTCAGCAAATTCAAGCTCTTAAACTTGCCCTTGCAGCTCCACGGCCTTGCCAGCTACAGATAATCCCAGTTTTCTTTGTCACTTGACTCTCCATAATTGGGGTACTATCCCTATGTAACCCATGAAATGAGATGGTACAAAAGGCAAGCTTGAGAACCAGAGCCCCCTCAAAATTCCAGGATCCGACCGCCCATAGACTCTACACCCTCGGATCACCGGACACCGAGTAGCGTCAACGCGCCTGGAACGGTCCTAGACTTTCTATAGACCCTCAAAGTCTCTCATGATAGAGCCCCTGAGCCTCACCTCAACCTCAACCGTGTGCTCGTAGCCCATAAAGTTCGCATGGAGCTCGCTTAAAAGTAAAAGTGTATGGTGACCTCATAGGAGCATGATCGTGGTGGATTCGCAGATTTGCCGACATGAGGTACCACTTGCTAAAAGGTTTCGCGTTGCCACTACTTCTTTAGGATTGCGGAGTGTAGCTAGTGTGCGTCCTTCTGCTCCACGCAGCTACTGACAGCTTATGCAGCAGCTAGTCAGAGGCCCTTCGATCTGTGTGCATGGCAAGGAGGTCATTGTCGGAAACTCAGCGGAAACTCAGTAGCCAGGACCCTCCTTGCACCCTTTAAATAGAAGTATATCGCCCCTATTTAGGGTATATAGAGGGTAGATGGAGGGTCTAGGAGGATAGAATCCGATGATTTTCTGAGCCAGTGTCACCTTCAGGCGCCGTGGCGCTTCTGATAACTGCGCCCAGGATCGGAGCATACAATCCGTAACGGACCCTTCACCCGTAAACCCTATATGCCCGGAATCCGAAACCAGAAAGCGTAGACCCTGCAACTTTTCTGTGGCAGAGCATGGAGCGTGGCTGCAGGATGCCCTGAGACGGCAGCTCCTGGGATGAGGCTCTGACGCCTTGAGCCAAGGGCTTCGGTTTGAGAAACTTGCAGATCTACGAATATAGAGAGTCAACACTGGTGCCAATAGTGAATTTGAGCATGCTTCATACCAATACTGGGATCAGTTTCTTCATCACGCGAGCTTTTCCTGTGGCCAGTCCAGGCATGTCCGGATGCTTTGATAGGCATTGGGCCCCAGAAAGTCGTTGAAGTTCAGCAGAAAGTCGCTGTTCTCTCCTTTGGTGCATGCTTCTCCTGCGCTATGCCAAAACTGTTCGTGCCGCACGACTACGTGGACCAGGAGCTGCAAAAGTTGCGGCAGGAGCTGCGAGCGGAGATCGCGGAACTTCGGGTGCAGCTAGCCGGAGGAGTTGTTCCTAGTGGCCTTGCAGGGAGCGGCGCGAGCCAGACCAGCCTCCGGGAAAACCCGAATTTGAAGATGCAGCCACTCGAGGTCACAGGCTCGGCGAGCTTAGGCTTTGTGGCTGAGGAGGCAGGGAGCACGAGCACTGTTTTGATGTTTCTCAACCCTTCCCTTCCCCAAAGAAATCCCAATTCGGGTCCCTTGCGAGTGGCAAGGAGAACCCCAACGAGGTGGAGATCACGGTGAAGGATGGCAGCTTTCCTGCGCCCAGCCGAAGCTACAGTGAGGCGAAACACGACTGAGCACTACGGGTAAAAGAAACAGACAGAATCAGGAAAATCAGAGGAGTATTCGCAAGGTGGCACAACTATATAAGACAGAATTCGAAATCTCTCTTTGATTCCCAGGTCATCACCTCGGAGCCGGATTGCCTCCAGGCTCGTCGTGCAGTTGACAGCGTCTACAATCTCTGCACGGCAACTGACAAAGCACAGCAAAGGCAACAGCCGACAGCATCGACAGCAAGCAAGTCGTAGGAGCTACGCTCATCTCCTAGTGAGAACAACGTATAGCACTAGCTGCCTTGATCGTCATAACACTCGTGCACGTACGGGACATACTGCCGTGCCTGCAATAAGCATGCAAGCACAAGCGTAGCAACAGTTGTGGTAGTCATGACTGGCAGAAAGACGGCATCAGAAAACAAAAGCAAGCTAAAGGCAGTATCACCAGACAGCCATCATGTGCAAATAACCATGAAGACGCGCACCCCGGACATCCCGAGATCCCTCAGCCCAAACTGGAAACCATCATGCAATTAAAAAACACCTTTGAAAAGCCACTTGAAGTCCAATTTCACGGAATGCTCAAGGTCCAGTTCGACAAGAAGAGCGCTTGGAGCGTTCCCTTGCTCTTGTTTAGTTTGGGGGTTACGAGTATGTTCCATTGCCTTTGTTGCGGCTGCTTTATTTTTGTGCTACTCCTGTTGTCACTCTAACTGTCACCGCGCCTTTGCTGTTGGAACATTCTGATTGTCGGCATTTCTGCACAGACCCAGTCCATGTACTTGTAGTCGTGGGCATAACTCCGGCGCCACGTTGTTGCTTCATCGCGCCTCTTCGAAAAGTCATCGCCCAGGAACTCATTCGAGAAGATAATGTAGGAGAAGAGGGCCTGCGCTGCATCTGTATGCCCAGCTCACCATCCCTCGATGGCTGATGACTGATCCACTACCTAGCAGGAATCCTAAACCTTAGATCCTAGACCCAGTGTACCTGCATGACTGCATTGACCAACAAGAGCAAGCTTGCGATCAGGCCCTCCATCCGGCCAGGAGCCAAGAACAGCACCAAGGGAACCTGGGCAGAGACGGATGGGCATCGGCGACATGTTTAGAACCTGCATCCCGAGGTGGACCAAAAACCCGAAACCACGCTACAGCTCTGATGGTAGCTGTAACAGACAGCAACAACAACAGCGGCAGCAGCAGCAGCATGAACGACACTGACAACAACCGCAACAAAGGCCATGACACGGAAGAGACTGCCACCTCAGAACGGCAGCAACATGAGCAGAACAACCGCAGAAGAAATAGCAGCGTAGTGATTAGATGCGTGCTGAGATTGAAGGGCCTCACCTACACGAGTTTGGCATCTAGGGTGTGCGATGAAGATGGCTCGCTCATCTTCTCGAACCTTCAGGCCACTCTCGTGGAGGACATCAATCACTTCCTGGGCCTGAAGGTGGGTTTCTCGCAGAGTAGACAAAGGAAAAGAAGAGAGTTACAGTGAATACTGTTTGCACGAAGGTCATGGAGTTCGAGTTGGGAACCTTTCAGCCCAGGGTGCTCCTTGCAGTTCTCTGCATCTTCCTCTGGAATCTGTGCGTCTTCAAAGAACTTCGCACCATTTGGCAGCTCATGAAGGTGATCTTCCATGTGCCGAAGGCCAGGGTGACTAGTTTCGGGACTGATGTCCCACGGTTTGCGGCCTTGGCAAAGTCTCGCTGTGCCTTGATGAGCGTGGTGTGCTTAGGGCGTGCTGTCATCGCCATGGTGCTCCTCATTGCTGGCAGTGTCTGGTTGGCTCGCACCACATCCATCTCTGAGCTCATGCTGAATTGTTTTAAATTTAAAACAATNNTTTGATAGCTTCACGCTCAGAGAAGTGTGTGTACATTCTTGTGAAGCGTCGCCATGGAACCATCAGACAATTCAGCACTGCGAAGGTCTGACCGGCCCAGTCTGATCAGTGCAGCAGAGCTACCGAGGTCTCGCTCTATTGTGCGAGACAACAATCCGTTATTATTCACAGCTGCAGGAAGACCCAGGGCAAGTTCCCCCAACAATCCTTTGCCTCCCGATGTCACGGCTCTTATGGCCCAACAAATAGCACTACTTCAGGAACAAACAGCATTGCTTCGCGCTCAGACTTCTGAACGACAACTGGAGACACGAGCGTTCCAAAGTCCTCAACAGATCCTTGATTCCATTGACCCCAGTCTGCGACGTGAGCTGCAGAAGTGGAGACTTGGTTTTCGTAAAGATTTGGGACATTGGGCAACGCACTCCGAGCTTCATTGCAAGTACTCCAAGATCATAGGAAACGGCGACATCATGAAGCAGTTTCAGGAAGAAAGCAATCGCAAGTGGCAGTGGCCCAAACATTACGAAGCAATCGCAAAGCCAGTCGCTAACATCGATGAGGGATTGGATAACGACATGCAGTATGACATCAATGCCGCATGGTTTTCACTTCGGCGCAAGCGTGCGCTTGAGTGTCAAAGCTTCATTGCCGAGCACCAGAAGCGTGCATATGCTTTCTTCGAAGAACGTGTGTCCCATCAATCTGCAATGCGTGATGAATCTGATTTGTGGACAGAATGGACGACACAAAACGCTAGTTTGCTATCGTCACACGTGATAGCTCAGGCCAAACGCAGTTGCGCACACTTTGTCGAGTTGGTACTTCGCGAAGAAGTGCCCAAAGTCAGAAGCCGACTTCAGGATGCAGAAGCCACCCGTGCTAAGCGGGAAGCAGCTGTGATCGAAGCCGAGACAAAGTTTGAGCAGATGGATCCCCAACAGCTGATCGCGATGATTGAGCTTGACAAGCAAGCAGTTGTGATCAAACAAGCTGACGGCACAAAGATCAAAGAGGTTGTTCTATGCAAGTCCAGTGAGCTTGCAGCATTGATTCGCAAATACCCTGATTTGGAACACTTTTTTTCAGGGTCAAGTATGTGGATTCTTTACCCGACAAGCATAAGCCTGCAGCCCGAAGAGCACCAACTCCCCATCCTCGCAAATCTTCGCTCACCACAAGGGGACGCAGTACCTCCATGCATTCTTCTCGCGCACCATCACGGTCTTCATCGAAGAAGTCTACATCAAAGTCAACCCCGCGGAAGCGATCAACATCAGCACAGTCTTCGAAAAGCGGAGGAAAAGGAAAAGGAAAAGGGAGAGGAAAAGGCAAAGGAGGCCGCAAGGGCAAGGGCTCCGATAAAGGACGAGGTCGAGGCAAACAAGTGCGATTCAATGGCAGCCGTATTTGACGGTTGCGCCCTCCCATCCACACTGCATCGGACACAAGACGAAGATGCAGAAGCTACTGGGATTTTTCAGTGTCAAAGATTGACTTTCTTTCGTTTTGCATTAGCAGATCTACCAGAACTACGTTGCAGACTTTGGCTACAAGAATTCGGGGCACCTTCGTTCATTCATGCATGCCATCAACCTTTTCAGTGCCTGATTATGTCAAGCTGTACTTGAACAAAGGAGGCAAGTTTATTGCCGATCGTTTTCGATGTTCTATTTCGCATGTCTATCGCAGTCTTGATAACCTGGAGCGCAGACTTCACATTGCAAAGTACTTTGAGGCGTTAGATTCCACAGAAAGGCCGAAACCTTCCAACCTGAGCAGAGCTTCGCGATCCTCACGTTCTACATGGGTTCCTCCCGAGAATGAAGCCATTTGCAGATTCGTGAGACGCGTCAAGAATACTCTGTGTTCAAGTTACGTTGATCGCCAACCTTCAAGAAACCTCACGTGGCTAGACACTAAAGCACGCCAATGGCTCAAAGAGCATCGGCGCAGCATGATCATTGTTGACGCAGACAAAGGATTGGGTGACGTTATGATGCCGAGGTGTTGGGTAGAAGACGAGATGCAGCGCTTACTCGACACAGGATTCCGGAAGCTCAGCCGTGAGGAATATGTTGGCAAAGCGTTTCAGGCGAGATCTACGCTTGAATTAGTTGCCGAGCGAGCCAAGCAAGAAGGAGTTCTGACATCACGTGAAGCGCATCTCATTACCCAGAATCTCTTCACAGCAGGTGAAGGTTCATTTCGGTTGCGAGTGAAGTTGCACAAGGTGCCGATGAAAGGACGTCCAATTGCGAACCTTTCACATTCTTGGCTTACGTCTGCAAGCTTGTATCTGTGCGACCAACTTGTGCCAATACAACAATCATTGGACTTTGCGGTTGCAAGCAGCACTGAGTTTCTCAGACATATGCCAGTTCAGGTACCCAGCAACTACGAGATCGCCACTATCGACATTCAAAACCTGTATCCAAGCATCAACACTGACGACTTGATCAGTTCAGTGCAACAATCAGTCAGACTACACTATGGCGAAAGTCAGAAATCCAAGTTCATTTGTCAGCTTCTTGAGATTTTGCTCAGAAACCAATATGTGAAGCACCGCGGCGAATGCTATGAAGCATTTGGCGTTGCCACCGGCATACCGCCGGGTGTGTTCCTTGCAAATCTCTATGTGGGACAAGCTGACAGGGTTGTGTACAATACCCATCGCGATGAAATTGCTTTCTATGCCCGATTAGTTGATGACTCTGTGGTATGTGCAACATGTGTGGATGATGTACACAACACCCTGAGTTCATGGAAGCCCGAGCTTAAGTGGGACATTACAAGCCGAGGAGGTCGATCACAGCATGGGGAAAACGCTGTCGCATTTCTCGACTTACAGTTGTCACACATAGACGGGCACATGGTGTGGCAAACCCATCGCAAAGAGTTGAACAGCTACTTGTATGTGCCAGCCGCAAGCTGCCATCCAAGATCAGTGTATGCAAGTACGATTCATGGTGAAGTTTGCCGATTGTTGCGAACCAACAGCAGCAAAAACAACTTGATCAAGCATTTGAAGTTCTTTGCAGAGAAGTTTGCAATGAGAGGTCATTCCTACATGGATGTGTGGCGTTCCATACAACTTTGTTTGCAGAATGGTCGAAGAAAAACTCCAGACATCAAGAAGGCCAAAAAGTTCTTTATGTTCATCAAGTACAGCCGTTCCGTTCCCAGCCATGTAATCAAAAGCTGCTTGAAGAAGCATGCTGATGATTTGCGACGTGGTTTCAAAGATCCCATTTCCGTGAGCTTGGCATATACCGTACAGCCTAATGTGTTCAAGCATCATTTTGTCGACAATTGGCTAATGGCCAGTCGAGACCAGTAGCTCTTACACAGACAGGGTGGGTGGTGAGGGTCTGTGTTTTAAATTTAAAACAATTCACG